CACAGCTGTGTGGGCTATCGCCTTCTCCACTTGGGATCCGTGAATGGGCAGAAGGAAGTCAGAAACATCTACTTTGCAGGTTTTGGATGGAAACATTTTGTGAAAAAGGCTTTCGAGTCTTCCTCAAAAGCCCCTGAGGAGGGCTTTTGCTTCTAGTAACATCCACACTGAAGAGGGATGTCTACCGATTCTGACTGGACTGTGCAAAATTCATGGCAGGAAACAATGCAAGCAAAAACAAAATAAAAATACACTAATTAGTTTGTGTTGTCTTTTTTTAAAGTTAAAATAAAATAAATAAAAACATTCAAAAGTGTTTTGAAAATTATAAAATGTGCAAGATGTTTTTACCTTTTCCTCTAAATGCTGTATGGCTAAAATAACCTTTTATTTTAATTTTAAAGTATTTTTTTCTTTAAATGTTTTTTTTAAGAACAATTGTTTTCCTGGAGTGTACAGAAGGCGCTACTTAGTGATTGGCAGGCAAAAGTAGGATAAAACTGAACAATCGTTGTAAACAAACAAAAAAGTTGTCAAGACATGTTAAGAAAGCCAATATTTGAGTATTAATGACCAGATAAATGGACTGACTGCTTGACACGTTATGTATGGTAACAGGCTGCTTGTTCTTGGAGAGATCTAGGTTAACTGATGACATAAGTCTTGTCTAAACTGTGACAAGTTACCAGAGAAAAACCACTGAAAAAGAAGGTCAGACCATCTTACAAACAAGTGCGATCGAGCTATTGAGATGTGAGTGACTTAATCCCACCGTACGTGCTCAAAAGAAAAACCCAATTCAGTCTGCATGACATGACAAAGCTAAAAATCATTTTTTGTTTTTATCCTGATGCCACACGTAATGGTCAATCAAAGTCATGAGTTTAAATAAATAAAAGACGCCATGAAATGGGTGTCTGGGTTGGGATCTACACTAATGGTTGAAGATAAATAATTGAATGAAGCCAATATTTTTACGCTCTCAGCAGGATGAAAGCAGCCCAAACACAGATCAGGATAAGTTGGTAATGGCACAGTGATAATATGCAGAGATATGTTGCAAATATTGCCTCCTCAGAAACTATTATTACTTTTAGAGAATCCCAACCCTGACAGCTAAAGGAATGTATGGCTCAACACACACCCAGACTATAATGTAAAACAACCAGGATTCTTCCACATTTGGTGTTCAAAAATTGGTTAATTGCATCCGAATTTTTCATACTTCAAATTACTCTTGCAGTTGTTTTACTGAACTTAAGCTTGATGTTTTATTAACTCAACATCCGCTGACATCCAATGGATGGTGAAGTCGGCAGCATGCAGAGAATTTGATTTTTATGACGCCGAACACTTGGCGTTGTCTTAGACTTTAGATTTTTATTTCCTCCTTCCGAATTGATGCTTAAATACTGAAGCGATGAATCCAGTAAAGCTTTAATTTGAAGAGAGAACTTTAGCATCTTTATTCTCGCAATGCTGTTGTGAATGAGGGTGCCTTTAAGTCCCCGTTCTGTGTTTCTGGGCATTTGTTTACCCAGAACGTTGACAGGCCCACAACAGCACGTCAACAGGTTTGATCTTTTCAGCATAGCAGGACCAAAGGGGGAACCACAAACGGTTTGGATGGTTTTAATGGCAGGAAATTAGTCAAAACGGAAGGAATGAAGAAAGGCAATAAAAAAAACAAAAAAAAAACAAAAAAAAACATGTGGTCTACCTGTGAGCAAGATGATGAATCTGAGTAGAATGCTGGACTGCTTCAGCAAAAAGTCACAACAGACTCAAAGAGGTTAACTTTAAAGGAGCTGCAGAAGTTCTTCGCTGAGGAACAGGATAATTATTATTCCACGTTTTCTAGATACTGATTGGCTCTCAGATTAGTCCGTCCTGCAGTCATTTTACCATATTTGTAGCATTGCATGCAATGGCAAACTTTAACATATCAATGTAAAATAAGTACTGTTGTTTAAACCAGGATATATTTTGCAAACGATTCCTCAGTTAGTGTAAAGACTTTTGATGAACGAGTATCTGAATGCTGACACCGAGCTATTGTATGTTAATCTGTAGGAAATAACTGGTGGTATATTCGCTGTATGTCTATAAATATATATAAACATATATGGCTCGTGATCAGTAATCCAGATGAAGAAATAAAGTGCAACATGCAGTCAGGATGTGGGTGTTGCATGCAGACCCACCACCACAAAGGTTTCTGAGCTTTTGTTTTCCACATTGTCAATTAAACATCCTGAAATAGATCAGCTCAGTAGTACTGAGTAACACAGCAAAGTACTCCTGAAGTACACCTTTTTATTCTGTTTTCACCCTAGCATTACATACAGAAGAGGGATAAATTTCCACCGCTCAGTGTTGGCCTTGTGGCAATATCGTCACGGACTCTCAGCTCTTGTTCTGTAATTTTCCACTTCTACAAGGGAACAAACTCATCACACACAAAATTCGTCAAGCTTGCTGTGGGCCTGTGTCTTTAAAAATCTGAGGGATATATTTTCTGTGCAAAAGAGAAAAGAAATCAAACTGTTGAAACCAGGCTGTATGTGGCCTGTGTGGTTACAGTGAGTCAGACTGAAAAATCTGCTGGAGTTTTCTATAAACACCTGATACAACACCCCAGCCAACCAACCCCAACACTCCCTGCAACGTCCCCCCTCCCCCTCCCACATGATCTGGACAGCCCCCAAGCTCGTAATACCACAAGATTCAGTGTAAACGGCACAAGACAGAGCTGGGACAATGCATTGTGGTTTTCAATTTTAGTGGCATTGTTTACTGCAGTTATGGCACTAGGAGGGGAAAGGGTGTGTTTTTTTTAAGCCAGAGGTGATGGAGGACCTCAGTTTAAATATATTTTGTTTTACAGCAGTCAAAATTGTTAAAACGTAAAAAAAACAAAAAAAAAAAACAAAAATACGTGCTTTAACCTATTATTTTTGCAAAGTGTGAAACTTTACACATGAAATGATGAGAAGTTATGAGGGATGGAAGTGATGAAGTTATGGATCCTGTACTAGATGATGAAAGTACCTTGCAAGCAATGGACCGAGAATCATCTTGTGGGCATCTTGTAGCAATGCAAACAGTACAGAAATGAAACACACTGCTGGAAAGCTAGCTATCACTGCCAGTGTGCATATAGTTTAGTGGCGAACACCTACACTACTGAAAACATGATGCTTGCTAACAACTGCTTTACATATTGACATGGAACCATGGAAAGTTGCATGGAAAAGTATCCACTTGACACCCACAGTCTGTAATACATTTGATTTGGAGCTAACAAACACAAAGCAACATCTAACTGTGAAGTCTAAGAAAAAAGGATGGAAGGTTTTCAAAAATGTCTGAACAAAAACGGGAAAAATGTGGCAATCACTTACATTCGGCCCACTGTGAGGGGAGATGTTAGAAGAACTTTTCACTGCCTTTATAACTGCAAGTCATTACTGGCATTGCTTTTCATTTAACATATTAAACAGTGATCCATGAGCCGTCCAAAGCTTGGGATTTTGTTTTATTACCTAACCCTATTTTAATCTTCACAACAGTGTCTGTCTTTGTCACTGTTTTATAAAAATTCCTTGAGGAAAAATAGTTAAAAAACAGTGTATGTCTTTTGTTTCTTGTATAAAATATGCTCTATTTTATGTTGATCTATTTATTAAAGAACTTTACGAGTTGTTGCTGAATAGTGCCAAGATGTCAATCTGTTCAAACTCAACAATTTTGCAAAGGTCAATATTAAGAATGGCTGCATGCTTACATGCAGTGTAGATCACATGTGTCAAACACAAGGCCCGGGGGCCAAATCTGGCTCGCTGTAGCTTTTTATGTGGCCCATCTAGACTCCAAATTACATCAATAAGTCCTTTCAGTTTTTCACAAATCTGCAAAATCCACACAATATCAATAAATCTCCACATTTTTTCTAACTTTACCGCAAATTTTCTCAAAATTGGTCAAAAACACGGAGTTTAAGTGATTGCTGCCTCAGTCTTACCGGATGTTAAGTTATAGTCTGAAATTGATACGGCCAGTAATAAAAAAAGTCACATGTAANGTCANATCATAAAAATTTCTTACAGACATTTCTAAATTGGTGCCACAAAATCTGTGATTTTGTTTGCAAAAAAGAAAAAAAACGCCACTAAAACAATCACAAAATCCTGGTGAAATAGCTATTTATTGATATTTTAACAGTCTAATTGGTTTTATCAATATATTCTGACACAAACGGCCCTTTAAGAACATTCACATTTTTGATATGGCCCAAAATAAAAATGAGTGTGACGCTCCTGCTGTAGATGATGTAACCGACAGCAAGAAATGTAGCATATTGTTTTAGGTCAATCAAAAATGTGCACCAATCAGAGAAGCTACTGCTTGTCTTAGTTTAATTCAAAGTAAAATTATACGGACTTGTCCATCTGTCATTTCAACATAGCATCAACATTTAGATTTTTTTTTTTTCTTTTTTCAGATTTTTGTTCCCTACATAGGAGATACATTATACTGGGACTTTTTCTTTTTATTTGCTTTGAAATAATCGCATCGTATTACATTCTGTTTTCTGAACTCCATACTATACTTATCCTTGCAGGGACGCTGGGCGCTGAATTCAATCTTAAATACAATTTTAAAAATAAAAACCTAAAGTTTCAGCATACCAACAGTGAAGTGCATGAGAGCATTAAAGATTCCCTTCAAGTGAACTATAACTTGTCACATTATTTCATAATTTTTTTTTAACGCAGACCCATTAATATGCAAAAAAAAAAAAAAAAAGAAGATAATGACAAAGAAAAAAAAAACCCATCGGTGGCCAACAACTTTACAAGAACAATAACTAGGACAACGATCCATCCAGACTCATTTCAGCATCACTTGTTGCTTTAATCGTGGCCACAGCGCAACCGTATACTTCCCTGATCGGCTCCCACAGCGAAGTATGCGCACAGGCAGCGTGGTGACACGACGTGATTGGCTGGCCTCGCACAGGGAGGCTGAATGCGCAGCAGCAGCAGCGGAGTGTTTCGCAGCTGCGCTCGAGTCTGAAGAGTTACAGGCGCAACTCTCTCCGGAGCGTTCACGCAGCACCCATAAAGTCGTTTTAAAAAGTGAAGTTTCTTATCAAAGTGGACTACTGTGTATGACGCTGCGCGCGCGCGCGCGCGTGTGTGTGTGTGCGTGTGTGTGTGTGCGTGTGTGTGTGTGCGCGCGGGAAAGTACTCCAGACTTCTTGAAACTCGATCGGTCCAAATCATCCTCCAGGTGCCATCCTCTGGTTCAGGTCAGTGTCTCTGAAAATTGTCCGATATTCAGATTCAGGTGTGCTTCTTAGACTCTTAATAGAGTTAACCAAGTCTGATTTTGTCGGGATGTTTAAATAGAACCATTATGTTGTTTTAGGTATCTTAAAAAAAATAATAATAATAATTAAAAAAAAGACATTGGTTGTCTTTTATTGAAAAATAAATCGGAGGAAATGGTCAGGTTCACTGGCGTTATGGTGCGTTCACTGTCCTAGTTGAAAATGAATATCTCAAGTTGGACAGTATGAGGGTCTTACAGAACAGCCAGATGCAAACACAATTCAAAAATAAATAAATTTATTATGATTTTTAAAAAATCATTAAGTGTGTTTGTGTTTTCTAATCGTTTTTTTTTTTTGCTTAAATTGTAATTTTAGAGGAAATGCTTGGAAATGCTTATTTTAAGCTATGAACCACTTATTCCTCTATTAGAAAGTGGAGTTGTTTACAATCTCTGTGAATGACTATTTTTCCTTCAACTCCATCAGCGCCATGTTCACCACGAAGAGCCCTAAAGTGTCTGAGTCGGCTGACTCCTGTCAGCCCTCCTCCTCCTCCTCTTCCTCCTCCTCTTCGGTGGAGAGCAGCCGATTCCTGGAGTCCGGTCCGGACCCGGGGCTGGTCCCCGTGACGCGGCCCTCGCTGCTGGCACGACGCCTGGTGCGTTTGCGGGCATGTCGAAGTCACCTGAGTCCCATAAGACGCCGCAAGAGGGAGATGATCCCCGCCGATAAGAAAGATGCCACCTACTGGGATAAGAGGCGCAAGAACAACGAGGCAGCCAAGCGGTCCCGGGAGAAGCGGAAGATCAATGACCTGCTGATGGAGGGCCAGCTGCTGGCCCTGAGTGAGGAGAACGCCCAGCTGCGGGCTCAGGTCCTTAACCTGCAGTACCACACTAACCTGAGTTTGGAACAAGGCAAAGCTGTTCCTTCCTGTGCAGCATCCTCTACATCCGTGCTAGCTTCCACTCTGTCTTTGTCTCCGCACACTCCTGCCTTTCTACAGGCGGGACTCTGGCGCAATGATGGGAGCAGCTCATCTGCTGTTTCTGTTGTGAGGCAACAAGAAACAGTGGTGCACCCCTTAGAGGGCAAGATTCCTTGTTTTAGCCCCGTTTTTAACCCACTAAGTCATCATTACTTTGTCGCACAAGGCCCCGTGCCTCTGCCAGGCGCCAGAGTCCTCTCCCATGGAGGACCTGCGGGGGTCTGCAGGCCAGCGGAGGGGGACGCAGACGCCCAGCGACAGGTCACCTCCAGCAGCAACGACGTCTCCATTTCTACCGTCGCTCCTCCCCAGCCACTCTCCGCCTTGGCATCGCTTCTGCCCCCTTTCGACCCACTCCACCATGCCCCCACCGTCCCATATCCGCACCAGAACTGGGTAGTACCCAGTCTCAACCACCCGGCGATGTGGCGCTCCTCATACCTGCAGAGGCCCAGCGTCTACCCCGGCCGGCCCGGTCACATACACGGGAGGCAGGGCCACAGCGTCCGCGTGCAGGAACAACTCCAGAAGGGATTCATGAGCCGACTCAACACGGAGCAATGAGAGACACCCAGGATGCTGCAGTAAGAGTGGATACCTGCAGCTCAACTTGACAAAAAAAAAAAAAAAAAAAAAAAAAAAAAAAAAAAAAAAAAAAAAAAAAAAAAAAAGATTTAAAAGCGACAAAGACAACCGGCATGAATATTTTCCGGTTTCCGGTGCACAAATTCCCGTACGGGATACTGTACTACATTGAAAGATTTAGTGTGTGCATGTTTCTCTAAGATAAAAAAACACATTAGCTCTGATTTTCTCAGGTTTCATGGATTTATGTTACCCTTTGCGCTCCTGTTCCGGTGCTATTCAATTTTACACAACCGATTTATAACATCAATTAAAATAAACATGAGGCATTCTGATCTGTTTTGGTTGAATTAAAATGAAAAATTGTCGCTTCATTTGCTTGTAGAGGGGTTATTTGATTTATTTATATTTCATTTTATTTTATTAACCCTTTTTTCTGTGGTGAGGAAAAAAAAACCCAAAAAACTTCGCTATATTGCGCCAGCGAAACTGGATGTTTGTTGGTGTTCCCCTTTATCCCCACTGCGTGTTTCCCCCGCACGATTTGATTCACTGGAAAACCAAACCCTCAACCGTTCAGCCCAACAGTTTAACGATCAAACCTTCCACCCCTGGGTAATAACTTTCCTCATGTAACCAGGGAAACGCAATTAAGCCATCAAAAACTCAGATATTGTAGTAACTAGTGAGAAAAGAAAGTGACGACAATGAAAAAAAAAATTAAAACAAAAAAGAAAAGAAAAAATGAAGCAATGTCATTTCTTTCCATTTCTAACATGATCATGTTGAATTTTAATATGAACATCTATCTAATGAGAATTAAACTCTCCGCCCCTAAGTTGGGATCTTGTGTTTGTATCTTCATCGTATGGCATTGAAAAAAGGTAGTTTATTCAAGTGTATTTACAAGTAAGCTTATTTTATACCAAAAAACGAGGTAGTGTACTTGAAGTTTGCTTTCATAAATGATATTTTATTTACTGAAGAACACTTGGCTTACACTGAAAAGCACGAAAAGAAGTCTAAGACTTACCCTGTACTTTAATCCTAAAGTTTGCATTTGTACCATTGGCAACTTTTTAATCATTTTTCCCACAAATTACTGATACTTAAAATGTCTTGGTCCATTATGTAATAACGTTCAGGGTTGCAGAACGTGTTTTTCTCCACGCAGCGAGGTTTGATTTGAGGCATCCCGTTATAAACTTACATGTTTGAGGTCATATGTGCTGGAGGTTAAAGGTTTACAGTAAACAGTATGTGTAATAATTTAATTGTCTTAAAATATGCACAGGACTTTTGACTTGATGGAGTTCTGGTTAAGTTTCAACAAGAACACATTTTGGTGACTGAATGCAAATCATGTAAAGTAAAATGTGAAACACATCTAGCACACAAGACGAGTGTACTTGAATGCATAACTTGGTAAGCTTAAAAAAAAATCTTATAGCAGTAAACTTAAAGTATACATTTTTATACATTTAAAAAATGTCTCAATTTAGTGGAAAGAATTGTTAAATTAGTAGATTTTCTAGTACACTTCATGCTTGCTATGCTTATACTGAAGTATACGTCATAAAATGAACTTAAAGTACTTTTTGCTAACATGATTTTTCGTTGCTGTTTTGGGAAAGTTAATCTATTTTCTCAAAACACTGCATAGCATCAAAGCATTTCATTAGTTTCTAAATTAAATATGACAAGAAAAGGAAGGTCCAAAAACAACTTATTGACATTAATCATCGATCACTTTCTGCGGAATCCAACTTTGGCATGAAATAGCGACGAAAATTCCAGCAGAGGGCGCTCCAACACAAATAGTGACAAGCTGATCGTCCTGTGACAATCTTACTACTATGGAAGCGTTGCAAAGCTAATGATTAAACCACTTGAGTTTTCAGTACCATGGTTTTTACATTTCCAGACTCATTTAGGTTTGAAGATAAATGAATGGAACTAATTTGAATAATCTGAGTCAAATTCCCAAACTTCTTGAAGCAACATGTTCCATTTGAAATTACAAAAATTACAAATGTAATTTTCTCACATAACATCTATGTACAAGCCATAGAGTTTCAATCCTCTAACTATAATTTGCTAAAAGATTGAAACTGAAAAATATGTTTTATGAAAGTATTTATTATTTTAGCTCCTCTAATACCTCACTTAGATTCACTATCATGGTTATCCTTTGGTTTGAGTTATTTTCTAAGTATTATCACTGTGCACAGTCTACATAAAAGAGAAAACGAGAACGGATTTTACAGATTGTTGTTCTTCCATATCTATAAGTTTCATTTCATCCTAAATCTTAAGTCTGAAACAACCAAAACAATGAACCGTCTCCATGCCAAATGATTGTTTACATTATTAGCAAGTTGAATTTCACGTGAAACCTGCAGTACTGTCTATACATGGATATAAGGAGAGAATGAAAGACTAAGGTCACTACATGTTCAAAGTGTTAAACCTCTAGCTTCTGCAGCGAGTTGTCCTCTTGTCACAGCTGAGCCTCTAAAGTAAGCAAAGTGTGCTGCGAAAAGCAGAAGCAAACTTGCAAACATGTACTGTCATCTTCGCTGATAACTCCCTACGACTTCTGTATTTTCGGTGAATCTGAGGCTTACAAGATATTTAAAACTACTGTAAAAAAGCGTCGCTTAAGATTTTTTTTCTCTCCTCCCCATTGTGCTTCAGTAAGTCAGTCCTGTGGTTTGTTCCCCACACTGTCTCTTTTACTGCTGCATCTGACACGACTCTAAAGGTTTTTATTTTAAAAGAGAGACGAATCAGGTCAGAATCTGAAGTGTGAAGTTATCAGACAGAGCTTCTAAATTAACATGAACGCAGCTGTACTTCACAGAGCGATGAGACAACGTGCTTATCTGAAGAGTAACGTAATATTGAACTCATGCAGTTTTCTCTTACAATACATGAACTGTATCTGAAAATCAGCAGCAGTGTTGCAGAGGGAAGACCCCCATGTGTTGGCAAGCCACTGATACCACAACACATTTATGATCAAGGGGGGAGTCAGTTGCTTTTCATTTGACAACAGAGGTGGACAGGCAGACTTAAATACAGGAAAACAAGACAAAGGCAGAGAGAAAGCAAAGACAGAGGTGAGAAGCGAGCGGCTGCGATATCCCCTCAGGTTCTCATGAGCGTTTTCACCTGAGAGCTAGAGTTTCACCAGCAGAGTTAGGGGGTCTAACTTAGACTTTCATGCTTAGCGAGACCACGACTCTGCCACGGGTTCACCAGCAGCTTGGGCTCACTGGAGTTTGGAGTCTGAAGGTAAGGCCACTGTTCTGCTCATGTAAGGCACACATTTGGGGAAGGAAATGGTTAAAGTGTCAGTGACTAAATAATCAGATGTTTTTATGTGTTTGTGAGCATTAAATAGTGGTGATTGCATCTCACTATATTGACACAAGGTGAGAAAACCCGAGTCAGCTCAGCGAATTGAAAATTATTTCTTTTTCATGTTCAGTCAAAAGTGGTTTTAAGTGGGTCAAGTTACTCATAACGCTGGATCTTCAAAATAAAAATGGATTTTCTTATGTTAATGTATTACATAGAAGTGACTATTCATTATTCAAGTGCTCTCAAGAAAGGAAGTGTCTCTGCGCTTAACAAAAAAAGATTACGCATAAGCGACGTGTTTGTTTTTAAGTAAATAAAACAATAACACAGAGACGTTTTGTTTGGTTTTGAATTATTTAACCTGTTTTTGTTTTTTTTTGTTTTTTTACCAACTTTCTCGAAAAGTGCCTAGAAGAATGTAATAATTTTTACAAAACTTTTATAACGGTACAGAGTGGATCTTTCAGATGCATTCGGTGACGATCGTTTGAATTTGAACAAAACATAATCTCCGTCTGCAAAATTTCCCTTATATTGTTTCATGTAGTGATAAAAAAAAGTGAAAACAATGTCAATGTAGTAGTAATTTAATTGACTATACAATAGTGTGTGAATAAATGATTGATTAAAGAGTTAACAAATGACTGCTGAAAGCGTATTAATTATTGCATCAGTGTAGTGGATAGTGCATTTATTTCCTGATTAATTAACTCGCTGCTGCATGTAGAGCAGTCAAATTTTTTTTTAAATGTGACATTGTTTGAGGTGTATTAAACAAGTACTGATTCCTGATCACCAAATTAAATTAGTCTGTGCGACGTTTTCAAATGCACTTCCTTATGAAGTCTAAACGTTCAACTCTGGAATGCAGTAAAATAAAGAAAAAGATGAAAATCAGTGACTTAGACAAGATGGCATTTACAGTATTGCAATGCAATAAGCAGGAAGCTGCAACATTTACATGTTGTTAATATATTTTTGCGCTTCAGTGGCACATCCGTTATGTAAGACCCTGCAGAAAGGCTCGTCTCAATGTGACAGCGTTATAGATAAAAAAAAAAAAAAAAAAGTTTTAAAATAGGAAATCTCAACTCCTACGGTTTGTCAGTGATTCATAAAGTACTTTTACTGATATCCACATGTGTGGTCTTAATTTCCTATCTATTCTGACAATAAAACTGAATTTAGCAAATGTTAAACCTACTCTGTCTTCCTGATTGGCAAACATAAATATTTAGTGTTCAACCCCTTAAGTGTTCTTTATTTTGTACTGTTTCAGAATACTTTTGAATTTTATTTAGCTCTTATAGTTTATGAATAATGCATGTAAAAGTAAAAAAGAAGCTTTTGCGTTTATTTACTGATAAAAATGCGGAACTTACTCAAAAGCGAACTTTGTACCTGCTTCACAAGTTGCAGTTAAGCCTTTTCTGAAACAATCCAAAAGTTACCTAAAGCTTTCTTTTCACATCATGTCACCATAATCAAGCATGCCACATAGATAATCTGTTTGACTACATGCAGCTTTGCTCTAAAAATAAAAAATATCTAGACATGGCATAAAAATTGTTTGATTGGTTTTAGGTCTGCATCTAGCATCAAAGTGGGCAAGTTGCTCTTGTTAAATATGAAGCTGTTCGTATGACCTATAACCTTTTGGATGATTTGTATGGATTCCTGAGTATGGACAGGTGTGTATGTGTGTGTGTGTGTGTGTGTGTGTGTGTGTGTGTGTGTGTGTGTGTGTGTGTGTGTGTGTGTGTGTGTGTCTGTCTGTCTGTGTGTGTAGTCGTTCCTTCATCTAAATTCAACAATGAGTCCCTGTTGAGCAACCAGAGGAAAAAAAATAACAGTGGATTTTAACAGCAAAGCCTGACCATGGGGGCAGTACTGTGGAGTAGGTATTCGTGAAAAATGTGTTAAATGAAATCAATTTGAATTGATTTATTTATGTCAAACAGGTTTTTAAAAACAAGAAAACAAACAGGGAAGACGTGCATACATAACAGAGAATATCATAATTTGTTTACCACCATTTTTCCATTTGAAGAGGACCAGGAAGAAATGAACACATATTTACTACCCCTTATCTCAATTTAATGAAATATATTACCTACCAACTCAATATTTATCAAAAAAGTAAAAAATAAATAAAAAAATAAAACCTTGTAATAATATCATGTGCCTGTTCAATATACTGTGCTAAAGAGCCAACAAACTAACTCATAACAAGACAAGAAAATCTACTGATAATAATAATAATAATAATAATAATAATAATAATAATAATAATAATAATAATAATAATAATAATAATAATAATAATAATAATAATTGTAAATAACAACCGGACATACAGCATCAGAAAAATTACCAACTCCTTGCCATTGTACACCTGTACATTCTTCTTAATCTGTTATATAAGAAAAAATAAAGTTTAGAAAAGCAGAGAGGAAGAAAAATTATGATAACAGTGTTAATAAGATAACAGTAATAAACTACCAATAAAAATAATAGTAACACAGAAGGAAGTAAGGAAAAAACTCATATTTGTGTTAATTCCCTTCTTCCCTGCACAACATAAGTAACATAGCTTTTATTTATTTTTTAGACTGGTTGATGTTTGGACATTGTTTTAGTTCCATACTCAGCCCTACGCTCCATTGTTTGGCCCCAGCTGCAGTAATACAAAATCTTTTCGTAGTTGTTTGGAAGCCACATATTTTGAAATTCAGTCTTCCCCTTAAGTTGTACCCACAGTCCCTGTCATTAAATACTTAATGAAGATAAAGATGAGAAGAGCAGAAACCGTAAGAAAGCCTAAACCCACCCAGCAGGAAATAGCCGTCCACAGCAGCCTGGAATAAGAAAGACAGAGGAGGGGGCGAGCACTGCGCCATCAGGGTTGTATTTATGCTATGTAGCTTACTCAGGCGTTCAGGTTGTTCGTTTTACCCGTTTGCCGTCATCAGGGGAAGCTGGCATTTGTGGTCCGATGAAACGGAGCGCATTCCCTGTGGATCAGTGATGGGCCTCTTGTCTAAATGTCTTTAAAAGTAGATTCAAAACTCTTCTTGTACTTTAAGCCAGATTTGATAAACTGACTTGACTTTAATCTTCGTAAGTTAAAAGTTTTATGTTTGCCGTATTTCATGCTTCTACTTAATTAAGTGAGCCTTCCTGCCAGTTTTACAGAATATTTATCCCACAGCATGACGGTACCCTCTCTGTGTTTCACCATCGGCGTAATCACAATACTCTTCATCTGGTTTGCTTTGGACACGCTGTACGTGTTGCTACAAATTAGATTAAACTTTATTAAATGAATTCTTTCTCTTTGCATGGTATGCCATTCAGTTTATTTTTTCCAAATTTCATCTCTTGCGATTTTTTGAGCAAAATTTTGTTTAGCAACTATGTCATCATTTCATCATCATTTTATAGTGAAGGCCGTTTGTGTCTGTTTATGAACTTTGAGTGTGTGGGCGCATGTGGCAAAGTTTTCATGGTTAGTACCAAGGAAGCTGCAGTGTTTAAGACAAATTAAGAATGTCCAGTTAGCATATAAGATAATTAGTTTGTAAAATAGATTTAAAAAATAATTAGTCATCCTGTAATAACAACAACAAACTCTGACTGGTTTAAGAGCTATAAAAAAGTTACTATCAAGGACAGCTGTTTTTTTTCTACTTGTAAGATAAATCTGAATGTAAAATAAGTGGCATTAAGCTTTTACACACAACAAAAAAACCCCTGTTTTGTTGGAATATTTTGTGTAAACTGAAAAACAGGCCTGAAAAATGAAACTGAAAAACAAAGATTACATACAGGTTTCCTCAAGGCTCCTCTGTCAGGCCCCTTTTTACCCTACATTATAGATCATATATTCAATCTGTGCTGACATTTTCTCTCCTCTGTTGATTTGGAGATGTTAGTATTAGGTCAAAAATGCACTTAGGAGAGTAACGTAATAAGATCTTAGGAGTTGGATAATGCACATTTATAGAAGTGTTTAATAGATCATCAGGAAAACTGTAGTCGGTCTGGCTGACCGCTCTCACCCTTTAAAGTTCCAGTTTCTGCCTTTGGCTCCGACGTCTCTGCATGAAAAGCAACATGTACATGTACAAGGAACATGTATTCCTTTGTTCCTGTGGCAGTTTTTCTTTTTTAATCCAGGACAAGGTAGATAGAGGACTCATCCCTGACTGCTGGTTGAATCCATTTCATATATCATTGATGTTTGTAGCAACCGTCAGTCGACAATGATATACATTGCTGCACTCTTCCATTTATATATTGTTTTATACTTGATGTCTTTTTGGTATGTTTGATTGTTCTTTTTTTTACTTGTTAACTTTTGAAACCTTATCTATTAGTTTTTTTTTAATGTCTTTTTATATCCACCTATTTGCTGTTACATTAATTGCCCACTCGGGACTTGAATACATCTGAAATATGAAAACTTTACAAACCAAGGAAATAATTCATAGACATAACATTTGTGGATAAACGCTATTAGCCGTTGCCAGCGATGCCCGTAAACGAAGGGAACAAATCATTGAGGTCGAGCTGCGTGGAGTGATTCACTTGAATTTTACCGATGACGGTTTAAAACAAACGCACACAGGGCGTAATTAGGTGAAGAGTCGTTTCAAAGAGAGGGACTAATGCTTTTCTATGAGAGGTTATTTTAGCAACGACTGGCAGCTCGCAGAGCAACACAACAACAGATGGCGGACTGCATGAAAACGGATAGACGCCAAAAGAAGAAGTTTGAAAGTTCCTTACTAAAAAGCAGGCTGGCTATAATTAGTCAATAAGAAACAGGTGCAGCAGGGGTGGTGAGCAGGCTCGACCTCAAGAGAGATTTCACTCAGGAACCCTTTTTTTTTCTCTATTCTCTTCATCTGTGTCTCCCTGAGTGATTATTGTTCTCGCTTTTCCTGTTGCTGCTTTTTAAATATACAACAGTCAGTGCCCCACACAAGTAGTGTGTATGCAGGTGTGCAGTATCTCACACACACAGGGTATGCAGTGTTGCTGGGCATAGGTTTGAATATTTTTAACCCGATGTGTTTTCTCGCTACCACACACAAGGTGCTTGACTGGGCCCCTTTTAAACTCTGAGCTTTGATGCATCTGCCACTGCGTTACACTTGCATGCAAATTCACAACAAGAAGGTGAGCAAAACGGCCAAGAAAGCAAAGCTGAAATAATTTTAAGAAAAACGTAGTTTGAAAATAAACACTGCCTTTCAATTTGAAGTAGCACTTTGCTATGCTTTCTTCCCAAGAGAGCGCCTATGTGTGACATCCTGAGTGACAGCTTCCATCAAGAGGTGTCACATTTAGCTGCAAGCATAAGATGAGACCATGATGTTAGATTGAAATGGCTTTATAAGTATAAAGGTGTGAGAAAAGCAGATAGGCTAAAAGATACATGTGTAACGGTGTTGTATGAAGAAACTTGTATGTGATCGCACGCAAGGGAGTGTGAATGCTGTGGTTTTAACATATCTATTCATCTTGCAAGGTTTCCCTCGAAGCCACACGTGAATTTATGTTAATGACCAAGAATTTGCCAGAAATTGGTATTATTTTCTTCTTAAGGTCAACCTGACCCCTTTTGTTCACCAGCTGATGTTGTGGAGTAATAAACGTCTCTTACAATATGTTAATCCCATGCAACCTTTTATAATTGTTTCACCACGTGATGCGACCTTTGCATCTCGCAAATGTTTTGTTTCAGGTTTGAAGGCGTGACGCGCTTCAACAATCCTAAAATGCTTTAATTACTTCTTTAGAATAACGCCAACTTTAATGTTGGGCACAAGTGATGCAGCCCAAATTACGATAAACCTTTGACACTTGGAACGTAGAAGTAAGGAAAGAAGTAGTTTCTGTTTCCTGTCACATTTTTTCAAGTGGTCTAGACAGGTAGGAGGTGAGAATGGGTCAGGGTAGCAGAAGAGGCTGATTTTGAGTGACAAAGCTTAGGTACAGCGATTGCACCTCCGTAGTGGTGGTAGGTGTTATGAGCTGAAAAAACGTCAGCTCTGTTCTACTTTAAGAATAAGCATGCACAGTTTTGAAGGTTTTTGTAGAATGAGATTCTGTGGAATTAATTGAATTAGAAGATAAACCGCAGTACACTTCTAAATTCATGGTGAGTTTATTTTCTCAACCTATTAAGGTTTTGTCTATAAAAATATGAATTCTTTTTTATTTTATTTACCAATGTCTGTTACAACATTACGAGACACAGTGGTGGTTTTTAATATGGACATGGTGGCGTACCACTAACTGCAGCATTCAAATGAACTGATCTTTTTATTTTCTGTTGTTTATTTGTGTGACTCGTCAGTAAGAGGTAGACATTTGTGTTGTGCATGCTGTGGGAAAATACTGCTGCAGATTCTGAAGCTTGAATCTGATTCATAATCTTGATTTCAGCAAAACCAAAGAGCTTTTTCTGCATAATCGCATCTGTAGTTTATTGTGCTGTAGTTCTAAATCTAAGATATGCCGACACCTCCAACTTCAGGTGCATAATCCTGCACCTAAACGCAATGAGGTCATTCTCACACTCAATAATTTTGGTGCACATAGATTATTGTTCAAGCAGCTGGTCGATTGCATGTATTTCTGCACTAAAATGCACAAAGTTAAAATATAAGAGGGCACTGAAGGTATTTTATAATCTCTTATCAATTTCTTAGTTTTTGTAAAATTCTTCCTAAGCTTAGTTTCTTAAATGTTGATGATCTCATGGGGGAGGCATGATAAACAAAGTACTGGATAATTTCCATGAGTAGAGAATTATCAGAGCTTTCAGCAGATTGTCATAGAGAACAATATTATCACAGTTTGGTCAGACAGCTCTGTCAGCCATGGGTGGTGAGTGTTGAAACATGTCTGTCGGTTATTGATGCCAGGGAAAGTCCGACTGATAATTATTTTAAAAACCAGCTGAAGATGTGGCTTGTGTCCACCCAAATATGGGAACATAGTCAGTAAAACTTACTTTGTGTGCATAGTGCGTGTGTTTGTCTGTGTGTATTTGTTTTTATGGGAGGTTTGGTTACAATATACTTTGTAAAATTGTGGTATTGTGTGTATGTGAAGTTTATCTATGGAACTTGACAGGTAGCTTGGAGTATTGTCTTTATTCTATTTTCTAGATAGCATAAAATGTCTTGATGTTTTCTTCCTTTATCTGTCATCTTCCTTGTTTGTTCTTTTTAACATTAAGTTATTCAGCCGAGGCCAGATGGCACACCTGGCAGGGGGACAAACAATGGAAATCAGCCTCAGCTGTAATTGGGTCCACAGACATTTGTGCTGTTCAAAATAGCCATGAATGCACAATGTTCCTCTCAAGCAAGAAAATTTTAAAAAATCAAATAAACAAATGTCTTCAATAAAATGTCTTTACAGAGACATGATAGGAATTTTGACAAAAAGTAACTGAGAAGGCAGTTTCTGTTTAAATTTACTTTTTTAAATACCAAAACCTTTAATCTTCCCACCTTTTTTTGACCACATTACAGCACAGAGACTGATCTGTTTTAAATTGTTTGAAAATCTCCTCTGTCAAAAACATCAGCTTTGGTTCTACAGAAAGTTGATCATGACATTTTAATTAAGGGTGTGCGACACTGGGAATTTTGGTGTTGATCCGATACCAAGTAAATACAGGGCTAGAATCGCCAATACCAAAACCGATACAATGCTTTTTATTGATATGTCACTGAATAATTATCATTGATTATTTGACTTCAGTTAGTTGATTATGATTATGACGAAAATACAGGACAAAGATTTGAGGAAAATAAAAGTGTTTCTTTTATTATTATTAACTAACTACAATGTAACAGAATATATAATAATGTCATTATTGCACAATTTTTTATCAGGATTCCCAAGTCTGCAATTGCAATCTGCAGGAAACCAAAACAGAAATACAATATTCCCTTCTATAAATAATTGAATTTAGTGATATAACGCATTTTAGAACAACAAACAATAATAACTCCAACTTAAAACAAAACACAAACACAACACAGATAAAAGAAAAGCAAAAATAAATATCATAAAAGAAACTCAACAAATTAATATCTTACTGTATTAAAAGTCAGTGAGTACAAAAGCATTGTCATATTCAGCAATATCAATATTTGAAATTTGAGGTATATCTTTATTTGTCATATTATGTGTATATCTTTTTTCTGACACAAGACCGTCTTCGATTAGACAAATTGTTTTCAGTTCCCATTTTGTCAAGTTAAAAAGGTAAAGTTACTGTTTTCTGCAGAAAAGACTTTGTCACGGGACTGGGTGCGGTTTGTGGGAGGAGGGCCGACATAGGGGCTTACCCAGAGCGCCAGCTTACTTTGACATTTCTATCACGTAGCTCTCTAGGATTTTTTTGTGACAAATTTGTGCATCTCTGCAAGTAATTATTTCTTTTTTTTCTTTTATTTTAGGTCATTTCTTTGTGTTTCTTTTACATTAAGCATGGAGTCCCTTTCCCTCCCTTTCCAAAGAGGTGAAGACAGCACCGTTTTCCACGTTGAAAGTGACCCGGTGCGTAAAGGACCTCGCCGCAAGAGGGAATTCATACCTGAGGAAAAGAAGGACGCCCTCTATTGGGAGAAGCGTCGCAAGAACAACGAGGCAGCCAAGCGGTCACGGGAGAAGAGGAAGTTAAATGACTATGCGCTGGAGTCTCACCTCATGGCTCTGAAAGAAGAAAACACCAGGCTTAGTGCTGAATTGATGGCCATCAAGCTACATTTTGGCCTGGCTCAGTCCACGGCATACACAGGTCGCCAAAGCAACCAACTGCAGCACCACTCCCACAGCAGCGTCCAACCCAGCACCTATAACCAATCCCTGCAGGGGAATCCCTACTGGAGCACCAGAGACTCTTCCTCTGTGGCCAATCACCAGTCTTCTTATCCATTTTTAATCCCTGCATATGCCCTCCACACAATGAGGGGCTATTCTTACCTAAACGGATCGGGCACGAGTGGATCTGGTGTCCTAGCACCTCTTGTTCTTCCTCGAAATCTGCTGCCACCCTATCCTGCCTGTCCTGGGGCTCCTCTCCCGAAGCCCTACCCCACCAGAGCCACTTCTGACGAAGAAGAGGAGCAGCAAGTACCCGGGGTTCTGTACCGATCCGTCCCACATCACAGAACGAGCACAAGGAAAGACAAAAGTTCTCCACTAAGACAATACATCTCCGACTGACAAGAACCAAGGGAGTATTTCACTTCTGTTGCATCTACTTGTCACCGAGTTTATTTAAAATTTCTGTCATTTGAAATGTTGCCAAAAAAACCGGACCAATTTCTCCAAGCTGAAACAGAACAGCAGCCTTGGTGTAACAGCATTCAACATATCCAGCAGTGTGTGATCCAGTATGTTCTCCTGATTCAAGAAAAAGCCAATTCACACTACATAATGCCTCCCAAAAGTGTGTAAATGTTAAGGTATGCTCATCATGCATCTTCAGCTTTGCAGTCTGTACGTGCTTTAGATTTAAAAATGTCTTTATAAATAGTTGTGGTTCGAGACATACCATAACTGCACATCACAGCATAAAATAAGCCGTGAACCATCTAAAGGAACTATCAGCTGGCCAAATTTATCCACGTAGCTTCAGCGTTAGCGTATCTGACATGTCTAAAGGTTGATCAAAACTGACAGCAGCGGTGTGTTCTTGGTTGTAAACAATAAAATATGATGACTGACAGCTTTGGTTTTCTTGTGTGGGCACATTTAGCCTTCTTTTCAAACCCCTTTACCACAGTGCGTTTGAATGTTTTAGTATTAAGATACGAACAGGAATGACCTTGTGCTGTAAAGATTTAAATAAATGACGTTTAAAACTGTGAAATACATACACTCGTCGTTTGATAACTGTCCAAATTCTGCTGATTTTCTTTATGAACACAGATTCATCTCAGTAACCTGGTATATCATCTCATGTAATTTATTTTAATGATTACAACTAATATATATAGTAGTTTTGTGATGCATTTCCAGGGTTTATTCTGTCATTTTTGATGAACACGACTTAAAGCTGACAAAAACAAAAACTCAGTTTCTTGGAAAAATAGACTTTTACATCATACCGATTGTAAAATGTGCTTTGATACATGAGGATTACGGTGTGGTCCATACTCACAGGGAATACTAGCAAAACATATCTTTGCTTAAGGAGCTAGTTATATTTCTAAGCACGCCAACAGAAAGTTGAGCTGTTAAGCCACTGCTTAAGCAGAGACAGCTTTAGAAGTGTCTTACCTGAGTGTTAATAATGGCAGCCTGACCTACCAAAGACCAAAACATTGAAACAGCAGAAGGAGCGATGGCCCTCTCCTTTAGCTATCCTGTCTCTTGGCTGAATGCTTTAAGTCGTCAGCAGCTCAGAAAGCAGCAGGTTGTTGGCTCTCACCCTGACACTGCTGATAGCAACGTTGTTCCTGGCCAGGCAAGCAGTCCGTCCTACTGGCTCAATTACACACAGAGACTCAGAGCCAACTGGAGGACACGAGCCTACTTTAGGAAAACGCTCTGTAGGGTAAATCTGTTTTAAAATGTGGTCATAAATTCAATGCATCATTAGCTGTAATAGTTTTGATTGTTAAATATAATTTATAAGCCACTTCGTTGTGGGATGTCTTTTGAATTGGACCGATTTATGTGCTGTAAAAAAGAAAGAAAAAAAAAATGCCATCAAGTTTTTTTGTTTGTTTTTTTTTTTTGTCCCTATCTGTTCCTTAAAACAACAGTGGGTAACTTTTATAGAAACACAAACGATTTCTTAAAACTGTCACTTATGTTATGACAGTATAACATGAGAGAGATAATCTGAGACAAAATCGAGCTCCTCTGCCTCCTGCCTGTGGTTCTGCTCAGAAATCCACCACTCCCAGTCAGAACCACCCAACCAGAACTGTGAGGAAAGGCTTCGCACTGTCAATCATGCTCATGTGTACGCTGCTCAATGTGCTAGTGGCGGAGAAACAACCTCTCATTACAGGAAAACTGTTATCTGGCATGATAACTGGGCTGGGCAGAGAGAGAGATAATGGGAGAGTGTGAGAAGCGCGTACACGAGGGTGGTTGACAGTGCTAAGAGCCTTCTCCTGGTTCTGATTGGTTGTTTCACCCTAAATGAAACACGAAGCAGCAGATAAAGAACAGAATATGACTGAAACAGAAAATATTATGTGTAAGAGATTTAAGAAATACTGTAATAAATTCAAAACACATCACAGAAGTCTCACCTCTAATCAAAGCTAATACATTTTCTTTATTGTCAATTGAATATTTAAGCGTCTGTATTGACTAGGATTGTTTCACCAGCCCCGCTGCTGCTCTGTGATGGCAATGAGTCGGGGTAAAAATCTGGCTCTACACAGTGTAGTAAATTATTATATCAACAGTTTCATTCTTAACGTTTGTTTGTGTCACTGGGGGAAGTTTAAATGTTAAGCTTAGATATGCTAGCGCGATGCACATAATGTGATAGTTTCTTGACTAGTTGTTATTATTTCTATCTAAATTATTTTTTTCATTTGTAACATAGATCTTCTTTCACACAGTGATAAAGTCGAGACTTGAACAGTGTTTCACATTGTATCACTTCACCTTTGATGTAACTTATTTACTTTTGCCCATGTTTTATTAATAATTCACATTTATCAGTGAATCTTAGGCTCTGCTTTGAAAATCTAATATTCTACGGTTAGGAAATCATAAGCAGACTGTTTGTTATTTGGAGGCACATCTGTAACACTCAAACACATATCTGTGCCGCCATGGAAACTGATTATTTATTAACTCTTAATCAAGCAGTATTTTCCAAAACAGCCAATTAAACTTAACCTTCTTCTGCTTTTCAAATAGTATAATTAATTTAGCTCCAACTCAACTTCCTACATTTGAAAGCAACTCTAACCCTAATAACAAATGCACACGGCATAAAATAATCTCACCCCACAATGTGTTTAAATGTTGCCATTGGCAAGCAACCGTTGAATAATTCAGCCGCATTTACTGTAACTGGTAGAGGTGGACTCTCACTTTTATATTCACCCTATTTCTAATAACAGCAAGTGATGAAACAGGTTTCAACTGTATTAGTCAGAGCACAAAATGAATAGTCCAGGAAACAACTCATGATTATACTTTCATGTGTTTTGATGGTTTGCTAATGTGAAACATCACACGTTTTGCTTTCCATTTAAGCAAAAATGGCTTTCATGGAAGAGCTGCATGACGAAGGTTGTTGATGGCAGAAAAATCAGAACCAAGTCCTGTTTTCAGTTTGGCCCAAGCCATGCAGGGAATGGGAGCAAATATGTGGAAGAAGATGCTCCGGGTAGTGAAGCCCAAAACTGAACCATGTAAACCACTTAGCATGGTTTACATGCTAAGTGGTATCTGTAGATGGATGTCCTGAATTCAGCATCTCCGTGAGAGCATCAAACCGTGGGAAGTCTCTCTTCATCCGTCATGGAAACTGGACAGACTTGATTGGAAGACAGCGCTAACGGCAGAATACAGGCCACTTAGAGACAATAAAGGTTTGAGAGCTAGTTTATATCAAAGCATATTCACGTGTTAGAATGGTTCATTCAAAGTACAGTGATAAGAAACTAATACCTTAAAGACAGTGTGTTCAACATGGCAGAGGCACATGATGTTCTGGGAAAACCTTTATTCAGCAGGCATGAGAGCTGCTCAGATTTGATTTGGACGCATTGGAGGCCACAAACGATTTGATCAGGTTAATGAGCTTCAATGCAAGAGTTTATATCAAACCATTTATCTTCTTTCGTTGTTGTTGTTTTGACTTCCAGGATTAAAACAGATTAAAAAGGATAGAGGTTTAAAATGTTACAACCAGTGAAAAAACAAAACCAAAAAAACAAAACAGAAAAAAAAAACATAGAAATTATAAGAAATGACATAAGTCAATGTCAAAGTATAGAAAATAAATATTGGTAGCAATGTAGATCCAAACACTTGCTTGTTTGTATTGGTTGTCTTTACCCAGAATGCCTTGCGCTGTAGTTCACGTCCTGCTTTTGGAGCGGTCTCCGGTCCGCTTGGTATTCACATCAAGACCTACGTTTTTAGGCAGACCAGAGTTTGATTGCACATTCACACCTCTCAAACACAAACCAGACTTTCTTTTCAAACGTACTACAGCTTGATAAAAGTGAACAAAACAGGGCTGGTGTGAATGCACCGTTTAAAGCACCAAGTTCTGTTATTTTCTTGCATTCTGTTGGTAATGAGTTTCATAATTTTTTTTTTTTTATAAAACCAGTAAATTGACCAAGATTTGAAAATTGACGGTCACTCCTCTTTGTACATGATTGAGCTTTAGCTAGACTTGCAGCTGTAATAATAGTAATGGTGGTTCTACAAAGCAATGCAGCTGGTTGCCACACCTGTCAGATTTTTATTTGTAAAAAAAACCAAATAATATATATATGTATATATATATTAAAACCAGTATTATTTTCCTGTCACTTCATAATTTCTTCATAATTTCTGTCACCATTAAATGTGAATACTTTCAGTGTGTATGAATGAAGATAATTTTCACCTTTTAACCATTTTAACTAGGAGTGGTGAGAAAAAGGAATCAAACCACCTGTCAGATGAAGTGACGAATGAAAGAGAAAAATTACAAGAGACATGAGTCATACTGACACCTTTACCTTTTAGTCAAAATGAAACTAAGGCAAACCTGAGTAACTGTGCCATGGGGTTTTAACTGATGTAATCCAGGGCTTGAAAATGTTAACAAGATTTAAAACTAATGCATGAGGATATACTGAAAATAATAATTATTATTTTGCAGGTTTTGTAATATTCATCAGTTCAATTGGATTTGTGGGCCTAAATAACATATCTGAATTTAATCCGACTGAACGAGAGCAGACAAAATGAAGCTCGAGCATTCTCTGTAGATGATTCTTTTTTTCTTTTCTCTTCAGCAACTGCTAACCACAACAATCCCATTTAGGCCACCGCATTTCAACACCATGGTAACACAATATGTGTAATAACTCTGCACACACACAAACATACACGCATGTACGTGTGCACGCAACACGTTATATCATCTTTTTCACCCAATCAATGTTCCCAGCATTGCACCAAAAATAGCTCTGGTGAAGCAGAAGTTCAGCATCTCTGTGTTAAAGTGCAATCTGACATCATTTCCTCTTACAACCAAATGACAGAGGCACTCAAGAATAAGGCTGCTGCACATTTTGCCACTCTTACCCGCGTCGTGTGTTGGGGGTTATTGTATAGAATCATATTCAGCGGACTAATTTGATCAGTGACGTAATTTCACACGAATGCCAGTAAAGAAGGCCTCGTAGGTGACACATCTTCCCATTGCTGTGCAGACTGAGATGTTGGTGCATAAGGCGTTAATTCCTCTTCAAAGACCCCCACCTCTGCAAGCTGGCTGCAGTTAACACATGCAAACGTAGGAGGGAGTTTGACATGCACCGAAGTTACTTAATAAATACAATTTTCTGCCTCAAAGACGTCAAATAAAAACAGAATGAACATTTTCCATCTTGAACAAGATTGCGCCTTGATTTCCTCCCCATGAAAACACAAAATCTTCAATATGCAGTCGAACAGTTCACATGCCGGTTTTAGTGCTGCAAACAACAGCATTTCATGCTTTCATGCACTGATTCACATTTATCTACTTTTCTGACTGTTGCTTTTGGGAAATAAATGAAGACTCGACTCATGCATTGCCCCTGTCTGTAAAAAGGTGAATTGTTAAAGTGTCACAACAGGGATTTCTACGTTTCTGAGTCACCTGATGATCATTTTTCTTTTTCTCATGATGAGTGCAGCAATCGATAAGTCACAATCTTTGCTGACGCATCTGCCGGCGTAAATTGTGACAACAGAACCTGACTGTGATAACAAACGCTTTCACTTCTGTGCAGGTAATGCACAACATGCAAAAACACAGCAATAGAACCTTTTCATTTCTTCATTCCTCTGTGCAAACTGCTAATGCGAACATTTCATTACTGTAACAAACACGCAAGGCGTGCATCAAAAAGTCAGACGATATTTGTGACATCAAAGGTGCGAAAGCCCTTTACGCACAGTCTCCTCTGAGGTGAGGACATGTCATTCAATGAGTCACTCTTTGCCGTTTTTGTGGACATAAGTGTGGGGAGTGTCAGAGCAATAAACACCAACAGAGTGGCCAAAGTGTCAGTGCCCGACCCCCAGAGCGCAGGCGTTTGAAGTTTGTCACACACTTGTTTTTTCCCCCTTCAGTTGGAACTACGTGTGCCCTGAGGAGAAAGGGTCATCTCAGGCTCAACTCAAAGTCTTTTTAGTAGGTTACGCGTCTTTATTTGGACTGAAATAGCATCCATGTGTATTTAAAAAGAGACGTGATGAGGATTTTTGTCTGGGCCGTTTCCTGTTTTTACATATGCAAAGGTAAAAAAAGATTCTTCATTTAGCAGAGGCCAACTTTGCCATGTTTGCTGACATGCACGGGTCTGAGGAATTAGCAATACAAGCAGAAAGGATAAATTATTATTTTTTTCTTTTCCAGCCACATGTTTCATATCATTAAAATATTTAGTATGTGAGCTGGAACCTTTAGACATCCATCCCGTTCTGCAGTAAAACGGAAACCTGATAAAACTTGATAAAATATTTATAGTGATATCTTTATTAACATATGAGGAGATGGAAAACGAAATTGCTTGTGTTGGAACAACCTCAATCCAAATCATTACCATAATATGTTTGGGCCTTTCTGAATGGGTGAAAACAAAATAATTCATTGTGGATTTCCATACATGATTTCATGTATCAGGCAGTGGAGGAGTTTCTTGAGGAAAATGTCAGACAATCTGTAGGAAAAAAAAAAGAAGAAAAATAAGACAAAGCAGAACTGAACTCTCTCCAGTGTGAGAATGTGTCCATATGTGGACATTAAGAAACACCATAAAATTAAATCTTGAGTAGTGAGTCGTATCTCAAGCTCTTAGCACAAGTGCTGCTGAATATCTCATTATTTTTTCCATCAGAATTGGTTGAAAAAGTCAAATTCTTGATTTGAATCATTCGAATGGTAGCATCATGCCATGGGTCTATTTATGGTACCTGGTAACGTACCTTAAGAAAAAGAGAGTAAAGAATGAGGACTGCCTCCAAATGTTCCGACTTGATCTCAGTCAACACCAGATAATTGAAAATTAGACAGATGCGTTTTTTTTGTTTGTTTTTTTTTACAGGACAACAATGCCTACATGTCATGTTGGATTTCAGCATTGATAATGATGAATTCATGTCAGGCTTGTGGAAAGGTTGTGACCTTATCTCTGATTTATTCCACAAAATCAGCCAATATCAATTCATAACACCAGTTATGAATTGATATTGGTATTGCTAGGATATTGATATTGCTAGGAGTGGTGAAATACCCAAACGTTATGCCAGAACCTTGTGGATGACTACAAAAAGCATGCGGTGAAAGAGTAATTTTTTTAGGGATAGTTGACCAAATGTACACCTCAGTAAGTATGACAAGAAAAAAAAAAAAAAAACTTTAAACATGTGAACCCAATTCTTATATTAGAAAAATATTTAATCTGTATCCTTCAAACTGGTTTGAGTCATTTCATCAAAGCCCCAAATCCATTGGGGTGCATGATGTGTGTAAATAACTCACCAGATTTGTGATCTCAAAGATCCTGCAGGTTCTTCTGTCGCACCATAATACAAGCTGAGGTAACCAATCAACTACGATTCTTAAGTTGGCCTTTTAGCTTTTTGTCAGAAATGCATGTTTACATCAACTATTTTTAAAAGCTTTTAGATTTGTCCTCCTCCTACTCAAATAGGACCTCAGAGGAGATCTAGAAATCAGAACTGAAAGTTTTGTTCACAAAAATATACCCTTGTGTAATTTTTTTGGTTTATTTTCTATTCTATGGATGTAACATGCAGTATTAAAAAGCAACAGTTTGCATTTAGAGAGCTAATTATAATCAGTTGCTTCAAGGTTTTATTTATTTCTGCACTTTCTGTATCTACAAGATATATAAAACATCCTGTACACTTTTTATTCCTTCAAGTCAACTTAAGTGATCAATGCTGACTCTTGTTTAATTCATCAATACAAATTGTTAAGACTAAGACTGAAAGTCTGGACAGGCTTTCACTTATATAGTTGATCAGATCAACAGAGTTAGACTCTTGAATTAGAAAAGACATTAATGAAAAATGAATTAAGAAAATAAAATATGTCAGCATTATTTGTCAACACACAGCATATTAAACTCCGACAGTAGTTTAATATATTGATTTCCATGTTTGCGTCAAATAGTTTTAAAGAATAGCCATAAGTAATATTTCTCTTTCACAGTTTTGAAAGTGTTTTTAAGATGTAAAATGTGTTTTTGCATTTAATTTCTTTAAAGGGTCCACCCATTAATTTGTGTACATTTATTCATTGAGGGAAAACCATACAGTTAACATAATATGGCATTTTTCCTTTAACATTCCTTGAGGTTGGAGCACACAGAGAGAGTGACCTTTCATTATTCCTCCAGAGTCCTCACTCCTCTCTTATGGCTTGGGTCAGAATCTGTAAAAATGCCAAGTAAACACATTTTTAGCTGACTGGTAGTCTGACTTTTTTTTTTTTTTTTAATGTTCTGGTATTTGTAAAAGTTCACAATTCAACCTACTCTAACAAGATTCCTAAAATACCTTTGGATGAAAAGTGTCACAGTAAACTCAGTGACCATTACGCACCTCATATTCAGAGATAAAGAAACAGAATTGTGACTATAGCAGCTGAACACAGGACAGGACAATACCAGGCATCATATTTGAAAACAGTTAATGCTTCAAAAATTGTGCTTTATCATGTCAACAGTACATGTTGCATTGCTGTCAGATGCTTTAGATGAATTTATTAAAAGGGCAAGAAATCTACTGATACTGCACTAATATATTTGAAATCTTTTGCCATATACTGGACACAATTATCAGTTTCAAACTTCAAAATTAATTTAAAGGCAAGCTTTTTTGAGCCAGTGAACATTATTTTACCCTAGATTCTGGTCAGTCATCATCCAACTTCCTTTCTTTTTTTCTTGAGACGGTGGAGTAAAGGTTGCTGAAGCAAAAACCATTAACTGTTTTGTGTCAACAGAGGGCAGCAAAGCCCTGTGTGACATTTGAAGGTAGACGAACAACACCATACCTTAAATCCTGAGTTATTTGTTTAGATTTTTATGTAAACTCTCCCTACATGCATTCTCTTCTCTCTCATACCTCATACATCTGACATACACAAGTCAGCGTGCAGGTGTATAATGTCCCACAGTATTGCTGCCTTCTAAATATATCTAAAGTTTTTATTTTCTTTTTCTCACCTCAGTCTCTTAATGACCGCTGTGCAAGGTCTCTAATACATTAGCATTTTCCCTCCATGTCTCTATCGAGGTCCTTCACCCTCTGCTCAGTGAAAACTCCCCACCTCGACACTTTCAAAGCCAAAAATAGGCAACTGAACTGAAACCTGCTGCACAGTGAATGTCCTTTATGATTGACGACAGAGAGCAGCCACATTTACATGACGAACATGATACACTTAGAGTCGTGTTTACAGCTGCACTGAAGTTCACTGTTTACCGAATGATACTTTAGCAGTTTAATAACGGTAGAGCAGTAAAGTCAGATTAATCACTCAACAGTACTATTAACAGTCACATTAATTTCAATATCAGCAATACAAAATATATATTACATCTTATCATACTCTGTCTGTACAATTTTGGTGATCAAAGAACACCGACGGCTGTTTGTTTTAGAAATACAAATTTGTTAAAGTATGAACAAAAGTCTGTACATGCATTCGCTTTTAAAGTTTTCTGTTTTAGACCAAGAGGGTAAAACTCTTGTACAGATTTACCAAAAAATAATAATGAAAAAATGTAACTAGAAAATGTGTCTTCATGACTTGTCAGTGTTCATACACGTGTTCACTTGGGTCCTTAAAAAAGTATCTTGACTCCGACGTTCGCTATGAACAGATGTTGCAGGTAGAAGTAGCTTTTCTCTTCCGCACAGGTTTTACAGTAGCTGACATGTTTCTTGGCAACCCTGGTAAAGAATAAATAACCTTAAAATGATCTTTCCTTGCAGCAGTTATTTCTCACACAGAAAAATTTGAAAAAAATAATAATCTGAGCACACTAACTTAGTGGGGAGAGGGAAATCTTATATAAGGAAATCATTGTTTTTAACAACATCATTGGTACTCCTTCTTTTACTAATTTTCTACTACTAGGTATTCATAGGTATTTGACAAAAAAGCTCAATCTTAGGCTTATCTTAACAAAGCCCTTGGTTCCTGTCCCTGTAGAGTTCAACAAACTCTATAAATTTGTGTTGGTGATTGCAGGGTAGTATTTTCGCTAATATAACTCCCAAACAATCATCTGCAGTATGTTATAGAGATTTGGTGACCCTAAGATGCCCCGCTTTGCTGCACATCTCTAACAGGGACATTATTTAAATTAAGGCTCATCCTCATGGTAAAATAAACATGAGTCCTTGTCCATGCAGGGAGTAAACAATGGGCCTCGTTTGTTACATTTGCACAATAGGAAAAGAGAACGTTATATATTAATAATTCGAAGGTCATACACACAATTTCTAACCTAAAAAAGTATACATTTTATTAATTTGATTAAAGGCATTTTGTTTCCCAATGAAAAAAAAAAAAAAAAATCAACAAAAAAATTGGATTTTTCCTAAGATGTCTGTGTGAGATCATGCTTCTGCAACTAAAGATCAATTAATTTTTTAGGCATTTTACATATCTATTAACCCTGGTGCCAATAAATGTGGCCAGTGCTGTGCATGGTGCTCTATGGTCAAATTGGCAGTGATGTAGAGAGTGGTACTAAGTTGGTCTATTTTCAAAAATCCATTAGTAAAATCACAGTCAGCATAAGTGAAGGCGTTGTAACTGTATTGAGCTCTAAATATGCACCAAATAGCTGGAATTATCTAAATATATATTGGCAAGTCCTTGGCAATTACTGAGCACCACTATCTAATTATGTTTTCATCAGCTTGGAGTGCTTAAGTCAGTTCGAATGGAGCAGAGATGTGGTCCTTCAAAGGTGAGGATGACGGTTCCTTTCAGGAAAGAAGTGCGTTGGCATGACCTTCGTAAAGGTTAAAGACGTGTTGGACGTTGGGGGGCTTATGTTGCTTGTCTTTAAACAGTCTGTTCAAAGTTTTGAGACTTCCTTCTCTGGAATTAAACTTATATACACAATTATATGAACAAAACAAAGAGCAGTAGAAATGTATCAAAGCGTCATACTGTAGATTGACATTTTGCATGCATGCACAAGTTTCTTTAAACAAAACCTCGTCCTAATAAAATGTCCTGTGGGTTATTGGTTTTAATGTTTCGCACAAATTTAATTTGTTCCATTAATTTGCGTCTTAGTTTGTAACTGGAGCAGTGAAAAACACCAGGGCTTCTGCAGAATCAAATCATTTTCATGTTGAACTTTCGTGCTCCCCCTTGTCCTCCACTGGCTGCTGGTCCGTCCACTTTTCTGAAAGAATACTCAACCGAGAAGTTGTTCTTGTGCTGTCCTCTACCCCGACTCCACACAAATAGCAGGATGAAGCAGAACAAGACCACTCCCAGAAACATGATACAGCCCATAGCTGTAGATATTAGAATGGTCTTGAGGTCAAGGGTGAACTTCAAGAACACCCTGGTGTCATTCAGATTTGTGTCGTTAAGGTCCCCGACGTAATAGGTGCGGTTGGCCATGAGTGCTGCATCCAGCGGTAGCCCACTGACTGTGAGCGTAGCAAAGTAGGTGTCATTCCCACCAGCATTGCTAGCGATGCAGATGTAGGTTCCACTATCAGTTACCTGGGCGTAGCGTATTTCTAGAGTGCCCTCTGGTAACACAGTCAGTCGCCCACTGCTCTTTGTGGTTATGCGTCGACGCTGAGGAGAAATCCAGAATATCACCGGCGTTGGCTCACCTTCTGCTCTGCAGATAAAAGACACTACTTGCCCTTCGCGGGCTGAAATTTGCTGTAATTTCCTGTTGCGAATTTTAGGCTTCTGGCAAGTAAAGTGGTCAAAAAGAGCTGAGTCGGTGAAAGCGCTAAGAGCCCGACCTTGGACTTCAACAGGGGTCATGCACACAGGGGAGGCACCATCAAAATTAAGGGTCTTTCTACGCTGAAGGATCCAGAGCAGGCGGCAGTCACAGGCAAGAGGGTTTCTGTCCAAGCGCAGCGTCTCAAGAGTGTTGACTGACTGAAAGGCTCCCTCTTCCAAGGTCACTAAGCTGTTGGTCGAAAGATTAAGAAGGCGGATTTGCCTCAGACCACCTAATGCATAAGGTTGAACTACTGCCAGGTTGGTGTTCACCAGATGCAGCTCCTTCAGTCTGATGAGATCCCGCAGACCCCAGGACTCTAACACAGTGATTGGATTATGGGAGAGGTTGAGGCTAGTGAGGTGAGCCAAACTACGAAGGGCAGAAGTGGGCACAGAGGTGATGTTGGTGTGAGTAATGAACAGCCAAGACAAATTAAGACCTTGAAGGCTATGAGGGGAAATATATTCCAAAAAGGGCCAATGATCAATCTCCAGACCTCTAAGGTTTCCAAGTTTTCGAAAGTTCTGGTCGTCTAAGGAGGAGATGCTAAGATACCTGAGTCGCAGAGTCACCAGGCTGTGCAGATAGGATAACGATTGGCTGGACACTGCCGTCAGATTGCATCTCTCAATTGTCAGCTCCTTGAGTCCTACTAATCCCAGAAAAGCCTTGTTGGAAATGTAAACCAGATCATTGTCACCAACCTCCAGGTTCTTAAGACTTTTTAGGTCTTGGAAAGTGAAGTCCAAAAGAATTACAATCTTATTTCCACTCAAATCTAAGGAGGTGAGGTTGGAGAGACGCGAGAAAGCTCCCATGGGAACCAGTTTTAGCTGATTGCCCCTCAGTGAAAGTGACTGCAAGTTCTGAAGACTGGAAAACGCGTTTGGCTCCAGGACGCTGATCATGTTATCACTGAGTTCCAGTTTCTCCAGGCGTGTATATGGAAGAAGATCATCCTGTTCTATCCAGCGAAGTCTATTCCCACTCATGTCCAAAACTTTGGTGTCAGGCGGGATTCCCTCCGGCAAGGAGGACAGACGTTTGCCAAAGCAGGACACGGTCTTCAGCTTCGCAATGCAGTCACAACGCTGGGGACATCCTTGACTTTGGGTGGAGGACACTGAGATCATAAGCAGCAAGAAGAGGAAAGGCAGCAGCCAACATACACCCTGACCCAGGCAAACCCCCATGGCCCTCCTTTCTGCTTCTTCCTCTGACTCCTGTGCGAGTTTCAATCACTGGGTCTGGCACCTGAGCAAAAGGATAGAGGAAAAAGATGAAAAAATAGAAAATGTGAAGGTAGGAAAGAGGGAAAGAAGGAGAGGAAGAGACAAAAAAATAAAGATGGTGAGACCAAATTCATTTAATTGAATTCCCTTTAAGCAATCAAACATTCTGTATTTTAAGCTCAAATATACCTGAAACAGAGGGGAAATTAAAGATAGAGTACAACAATCCCCTACAGGTGATTTCGCTTTACAATGGTTAACTGTGTTCTGTTGAAAGCTGCAAGAATTGTAAACTAGAGAAAAACTCTTAATAGCTCTAGACTGAGTTTCATCTCAGCTATGAGTTAGTTATACATGTGAATTACAATAGGTAATGCATCTTTCTATGTTTCCCTCTGGCTCTTGAATTGTATATTGAGAAAGGGAATTTGTGGATCTCTTTAATTTATTAAACCTAATGTGAGACATTACACGAAAAACTAAGGCACCTGTTGGCTTTCAAACAGCAAACAGACCAGCAAATGGACTCTGTCAACTTATCAATAACATACAGAAGGGAAAACAAGAGATTTATTGCTCTACAGAAGAAAACCATAGGCCTACAAAGTGGAAATGTGTCTATGAACAACACAACACAGTCATTCACCACAGCAGAAGGTCACAACACACAATAATTCAGTCCAGCCCATCATCTGCATGAGTCTCTGAGGACATGAGGCTTATCATAAGACGAGCTTGCTAAGCTCGTCTAATAGGAAACCAACAAATGTGTGAGGTTCTCCTACCCAATGCCTCAGTCTGCTGACGGATGTCAACAGCAAAGTAGTAATCTCCCCATAAACCCAGCATGAAATGCCAGCTACCAGCATGGACAGTTACTCCATTATAATACGCAAACTGCCTGGTGAATCTGTGTCTCACACAAGCCTCGCAGACACGTTTGTTCTTAATTCACAGAAAATTAAAAGGCCAAGTAATACATCACAAAAGAATGTTTCAAGTTTTTCTTTTCTTTTCCCACTTACCATTACTTAGAAATTCCCATTAGAAACATCTATAACCCTTTGTAATTAAGGGCTTTGTTGTAAATATCATTCTTAGACCTTTAAAATTAGTTTCCTGAGGGGTTTCTCAAAAACAATGTAAGCAGTCCACTTTAAAGTACCCAACCTTTAAACAGATACTGCAGTCACTTCACTATGTACACCTATTCAATTCATCATTGAGACAGACAGCTAACCAATCAATCACATGGTAGCAATCTCAAAGCATTTAGATTTCTACACAAAGTAAAAACGACTGTCTGAAGTTCAAGCTGAGCATCAAAAAATAATTAAAGGACTTCAAATGTGGGATGGATGTTGATGTCATAGACGCATGTTTAAATATTTCAGACGCAGGTGATCTGCTGGGATTTCCAGTCACAACCGTCTCTGAGGAGTAAAGAGAATGGTTAGAAAAAGAGAGAGTATTCATGACTGTGAGTTATGAGGATGAAAACGTCTTGCACACGTTGAATCTTGAGGGCAACAGTAGAAAACTTCACCATGTGTCACCATCGACAGATCAGAAAACGAAACTGAGGCTGGAGTTCACACAGGCTCACCAAAGTTTGACAAGCTGGAAAACTGTTGCAGCTGAATCTCAATTTTAGCTGCAGCTTTCACTTTTTGAATCTTTGTCATTAAGAGTTAGGAAGTTCAGATAGGGGTCCAACCTGAACTTGTTGACAAAATTATGAAAAACTTGAGAACTTGCAAGTCCTTTTACACTCAGAAACATATGTATTTTTACTGGTAAAACATTTTAAGACATATAAAGTGCAGACATGATTACATCTGATATTATGGCCGGTCTTCTTTAACAAGCAGAAAGATTTGTTGCATGCTTACAGAGCAATTTGATTTGGCCTACATGATAAGATCAAACCTGCATTTGTTTGCATAAAAGTGTCACTTGTGACAGTTGTAGACAGTTGTAAATGCATTACCGTCTCGGCATTAGTTCCCAATGCACAGCTCAATATTTTAACTGCTACTGTTTGTAACTTCAAGGTAATGACAGAGGGATATGTGACTGGAGGAAAGGGATTCATCTCGGCTGTACTGATGTAAGACACTGGATTCTAATAAAAACAAAAACAGAACCTGTGGCTTAATGTAAACCACAAAAGTTCCTAAGTAAAACAAAAGACAATTTTGTAAAGAAGAATAACTATGACGGCTGTAGTGCCTTTCGGTTGACAATAAAGTTGATAAAGTGAAACCTACAATACTAAAAATGATTGACTTGGTATGAGATTAATGTATGGAAAAACCCATCCAACAAGACGTGTGACTGCTAAAACCTTCATGCCAAGCAAGAAGGCTTCCGCTGTGAAACTAAGCCAGACATTGGATGAAGAAAAATAGGTGTTTAAAATTGTCACATTTCCACATGTTCTGTTTCCTTCTTTTGCCTTTGTCACGATTCAAACACACTTCTTCTTAATCTTCTGTTTTTCATAACAAGCTGTGATGCAGCTGTCCAGTGTCCCTCTGCAGGGTTTCTGCGTTTGTCTGCTGACCTCTCCTGAATGTCGGGATCATCACTCATCCTCTGCACAGACGATGTTCATTTGCGCCCGGCTCCTATGTTGCCTGGTAATGGAGATATTCAAGACCTTTCCTTTATTTCTCACTTCTGCGTGTAATTTCCTGCCCGCCACTGCATCTCTGCCTGGTAGGCTTTGTGGCAACATTAACATCCTGTTCCTTTTTTGCATGATGCCAAAACTGTCACGATCAGACAGATGGTGGCTGTCAGTCCCTGACAGAGAGAAAAAGCAAACATTAACAGCACATTCAAGATGCACATCCAGTGAAGTCTAGTGGAAAAGTTATCTTTTAATTTTTTCTATTGCCAGGCAACAGCTCCTCGTCTTGCCCATGTTCTGAAAACAGCTTTAGTGCCTGATAGAGGTGGGCGATACTGGGAGTTTTGGTATCTATTCTATATGGAGTAATTGCAGGGCCAGTATTGGCGATATCGATACCAATACCGATACTTTTCCATGTTTAAGCTTCATAGAACCAAAGGATCCAGAAGACCAAGGATGTAATTTCATCAAACATTGTACGTGACAACAGAATACTTTAGAGGGCCGACAAATGACGATACAGAAGAATTATCACACCACAAGTACAGTAAACGGTTTCAAATTTATTCTGTTTTTCCAAGTCAAACAATACAACAAAATAATGCAAAGGATAAAGTATTTCTTTCTAACATTTTAATTCAACACTATTTTTATGGTAAAGAATGTTCTTATTTTACTAAAGTGTTAAAAAGAAAAATGGAAAATACTGTTTTAATAAAACAAAATGGCTTCAGGAAAAGAAATAAAATTAGACGACGGACGACAGAATCTATGAATTGTGTTTTTCGTAACAACTTGGCCTCAGAGCAAATGTTCTGTGTACATTTATAGCTCTAATGGAAAATCAAAGGATAAGTGCGACGGATTGAGCGTGATGTGTGAATTGTAAATGCTTTAAACGTGGAAAACAGTTTGCTAGAGATTGCCTATTTGCAGGACAAGGTGTTGGAGTTTCTCTGCGTGTGTAGCAGACAGTCCGACTTCAGTGCGCTCAGAGTGAAAGACAGACTGCAAGTGAAAATCAAAGATAAAGTCCTCCTCCTGTCCTGCCCTTACTTGCAGTGCTTGAGACTGTGGATTACACTTGTCAGGTTCTTGTCAAGCTGTACAAACCTAATTCTATCTGAAGCATTGAAATACTTACAAAAGACATGTTTCCTTTGTCCAACTGAGCCACGCCGGACGATGGCTGAAATATTTATTTACCAAAATAAAGCATGAAAACACTTCATTTATACCTGACATTTAAAGGCATGAATGTAGCAAAGGGCTATTAAAATTCAAGCGAATATCTCAAATGCATATTAGCCTTTTTCTAAATGTTAATGAGCATGAATAAACCGCCGCCTCCTAAAAGTCACATTACAATATTTAGTGCACATCTGTTTGATTGCATCGCAGCAGCAGAGGATAGTTTACGTTCTGGAGCTGACAAAAGCAACTGGGAATGTGATGCTGTTAAAATTTCATTAAAAAAGCTTTTGTAATGAAAATGTTGGTGCCTTTTACTCTTACGATCTGTCACACAACACATGAATGCACAACATATTGGAGCCGACGATGCAAACACAAGGCTCATTGTTTCATGTTTGATTTCTCAGGTCTTATTTTAAGCAGAATTATGGGCCAATTTCTCTGCTTATGAGAACAGATCAGGTACCTAATATTTTCTTAATAATTTTTTTTTGTTTTGTTTTGTTTTGGTGACCACCTTATTGTATTGTATGTGTCTGCAGGAGTATCTAAAATGCCTAGAGTGTATATTTTATTTATCTTTATCACAGTATATATAAATTATTTTAATACGACTATACAACTCCAATGCCTGCAGAAGATAGGCACCAACTCTCCCTTGATCCTGAATAGAAAACGGATGAACAGACCGATGGATTTCCATGGAGATGGTCACAATGAAACAGAGACAGATAAAAACTGAAATTAAAAAAAGCACCACTCATCAGTGTTGTAAATTTTGTAAGTCACAAGCAACACACGTGTGAGGCTGCTGACTGGAAGCTGACTATTTGGGGATATAGCAAGACGAACTATCTAGCTAATTTTAATAAGCTTGGCTTATTGTTTTACTGTATAAAGGTCAAAACTGCAAAATGATCTAATATTTTGTGCAGAAGGAATGCCACTTGTAGCTAACTAAATTCAACCTGTTTTCCTATAAATTTGGCCTTGACTATGTGATATGTGTACCATACCATGTCATACTTTTTGCAGCAATAGTATATTTTATCTTTTTTGTTTTGAATAATTCAACTAGACTGTTATAAATTGTTTTAATGTTTTTATATATATATTGTGAATGTACGGTGCTTTTACTCAAGGCCATACTGACGAATACAGAAGGAAATCAAGTAAAATATAAATATGAA